CCCCCCCCGGCAGCTCTTCATCGCCGCTTCCCTGGGAGGTGGGGGGGATCTGTGTGTGCCCTCTACCCCGTCTTTGCTTCGGTCCCCTAAAGGCAGTCACGGGATAGTCCCATCCTGTTCCATTTTGCTCACCTCCCCAAACCTTGGGTCCTTTCCTGCCTTCCCCAGCCACGATTCCAGGCAACCAAGGTCAAAAGTGGGGGGCTTGGGAGGGGGCACAAGCTTGTTGCGAGGATCCTTCTCCTGAAGGAAATGGCACAGGCTGGGGTGGCCAGGATGGGGGATCCCAAAAAGAGCCTTGTTTGCGGGAGCATAGCAAAGGAGGGTGAAGAGCAGGATAGGGGAGATGGCATGGGGACAGTCCAGCACCCCAGCTAACACCCCACGTCACGCCTTGTAGATTTTAAGCCCTCTTGTGATGCAGGGGAGTGTTCAGCTGCCAGCCCTGTTCTCTCAGGGTAAGGAATCAGGACGCAGCTAGAAGCTTGTTTTTGGAAAACACTGGAAGCTAGAAGAGGGGGGGTGTCTCTGAGATGTCTTGGCACAGGCGAGCGGGTGGCCTCTTGCCGCAGGTCAGCGCTGATGTGCTTTGGCAAGGCCAGCCAGAGAGATCAGGGTGGGATGTAGCAGGAGATGCCGCAGGTTGAGCCGCATCAGAAAAACCACAGAGAGAGCAAAGGGTTGGAGAACCATCATCACCCAGCTGCCTGCAGGCAGCAAACCTTGTCCAGCCACCACCTTCACTCCATTTTCCTGTCCGTTGCGTTCTGGGGCAGCAGAAGGGTCTGCCAGAAAAGCTGTCCCTGCCAGAGCACAGATCCCTTCCCCCAGCTCCCCAAGGCACCCGTCTGCCCAGCCGTGCATGTGGGTTTGCTGCTCCCTTCGTGCTCGAAGCGAGAGCAGTTATAGTTTGCAGTGCCCAAGAGGGCAACCACAGTGCGGGGGGGTGTGGGGGGTGTTTTCTGACTGAGGATGAGAGCAGCTCTGGCCCCGCGGCTGGTAAGTCACTCCCAGGTTGTTTGTGCAGGGTCAGACACTGGGGGCTCGGTCTTTGAAGCCACAAAGCTCTGTGCAGCAGGATGCCCAGGATCAGTGCTCCTTTCCCTCTGAAGCTTTGGCTCCCTGCCTTCCCTCGGGAAGAAAAACCAGTGCCCTGAAGGGGATAATAGCTGTCTCGGTGTGTTTACAAGGGCTGGTGGGGCACTCTGCCTGCCCCTGGGTGCTGGGATGCAAAAAACAAAGCCTGCCCAATCTCTTTTCAAAAGCACACATGGGCAGGTTGAGAAGCTGCAAGCACGAGCTGGAGAAGGGAAATTCTTATCAAGTATTAGGGAAAACATCTGGGTGGTAAAACACTGTCACAGGGACCAGACGGGCAGGAATTGCCATCCTTGGAGATCCTCCTGAGGAACCTGATCTACCAGCCCTGCTCTGAGCGGGGATGCACCAGGGACCTCCAGGGGTCCTGACTGATCAAAACCATTGCAGGGTTCAGAAAGCCCTGGTCTGTAGCAACCCTCACTGAGCAGAGGTGACGTGGTCACCAAGGCAAGGGAGAGCACTGCCCAGAGAGCCTGGATTTTAGGATAGTGTGAGTCCTGGGTTTGTCAAGGAGGCATTTTTCACAGATGCCCTGCCCAGAGGTGGGGTATGGAGCAATGAAGGATGCTATGGCTCCATTCCCACTGGATGGAAGTCCTAGTCCATGGGCTCTGTCCTACAAGACGCTTGAGGTGCTCAGCAGCCTCATACTCCCTGGCAGTGGTGCAGGTGGACTTTCACACCAGGCAGGTTTAGACCCAGGTGTGTGTAAAGTTCTGAAGTTCCATGTGGTTTGTAGGTGAGAAGATGTAGCTGAGGTGACCAACTCAAGGGCCATTACTGGTAAAGTACACTGGCTTCTCTTGGTCAGCAACACATAGGAACAACCCCCCAAGCCCTCTGTCTAGCATAGATGGAGGCTGAGACACAGGCTCAGCTGCAAGCAGACCCTCTGTAACTGTCATCTACTTCTGAGCATTTTCAGGACTCGGAGGGGGACAGTCCCACAGAGCTTCTGGGTGAGCCAGTTCTGGCTCCCTGTAGGACACAGACTTCACTGGCAGCTCAGGAAGCCAATGTCTCTGCTCCTGCTTCAGAGCAGGGGATTTTCTTGTAAGCCCAAGCCTGCAAAGGGAGCTGCTTTCATGGCTGGTGTCTTGTTCCTCTTGAAGAAAGAGACCTTAGACTCAAATCAGAAGGCCTGTGTCCCTCCTGAGGGCTGGGACTCATACTGCCCTGGGCACCCTCTTAGAGCCTCTCCTCTAAAACATCCTGTGGGAACATCTCTTCTCCTCTGGGAAAGACTGAAAAGAAAGGAGGGGTCAGTAAGCAGGAAAGTAAGAGTGGGAAACGGTGTGATACCTGCATGGGGGAAGAGCAGAGGCTTTCTGAGAGAGGAGGTAACACCTCCCCTCCGTTAGGCACCAGAGTGACAGATCTGGGAATACTGTGTGCAGCACCTGCGCCCGAAGTTTTGAAAGAAGATTAATAAACTGATTTAAGGCTTGGAAAAATACCTTACAGGGAGAAGTGTAAGTGAAACTGCCTGATCTCTGTGCCAAAAGAAGCCAGAAGAGGTTTGAAGGGAGGAAAAGCTGGGGGTGACAGGACAGTTAAAGGCATGCAGACCCATGACTTGAGCCAGACAGCTTCACGCATTGGACAGTGAGAGGGGATCGAGCTGTCGGAACTGTTGATGCTGTCTATGACTCTTGGAGACTGCAGATATACATGGAACAGAAGATGTGGGTTCATTAAGCCCGAGTTCCCCAGTGTATCTTGATGAAATGGGAAGACCAGCCCCAGGGAGAGGTGTTCCAACTGACCTCACCTCCTCCAGCAGAGGAACCACTGCAGCTCTCCCCTCCATCTTGTGATCCTACAAGAAATTAATCTGTTCAATCCTGTGAGAAGAAGGTCCTGTAGCCACAAGAAAGTATCTTGTCAACTCCCAATGGGCTCCAGGGAAGAGGCTATAACCCTAACATAACACCAAAAACTTCCCTGGGCCTCTCCTCTCCTGGGGCAATGTGCTAAATAGCAGCTGTAAATGTTGGAGTTGGGACCCCAGTGAGGAGGCCAAGGGGCAGGAGTTGGGGTGAACGTTTCCTCTCCTCTCCCCACACACGTCTCCTTTCATCTACACCCAAACAACAAATGAGTGCTCGCATTTCACTTTGAACTCCCAGTTCCCTGGGCTAGGTTGGTAGTTTCACAAAAGAAAGGAAGAAAATGGCACATACTTCTTTGTCCCCATTTCTGATTTTTAGCCATCTGCTTCTATGAAGCCATCCTGTATCTCTCTGGGGATGCATCTCTGAAGAAGAAACTCCCATTTCTAGTCCTGAACAGATATGGGGATGTTCCCTGCTTCCCCATCCCCCCTTCACTTAATTTTGCTGTCCCCATTCCCAGGACAGAGACCACCTCTACCCTCTCACTCTGCCCTCACCCCTGCCAGGGACTGAGCAGCCCCCTGAGACACCCCCCAACATCCTCATCTGCTCCCAGGAGCTTTGCAGATCCTCCAGGTCTCCCTTTTCTCCCCCACCAGTCCTATTTCTTTCCTCTCTGTCTGAGAGATCAGTCATGGAGGGTGTCGACACGCTCGCACCCGACTCCCCTGGGAGGACGGGGAGCGTGAAGCTGGGGGTGGTGTTCTGCTGTAAGAAGGCAAAGCTGCCATCAGCGGGCGCTTTGATCTACAGACAATTACAGACGAGTGTAGGACCTCGCTCAGCTCAGCCAATAAATAATGGAATTTTTGTGTTGACACAGACAGATTTCCCCCAAACTGTCAGAGAAGGGGAGACAGAAAGTGAGCGAATGGGAGCCTGAGCGGCTGGAGGGAAGAGGAGAGGAGCGGGCAGGGGAAGGGACGAGGAGGGCCTGTGGGAAAACAGAGAGGGGGCAAGTGAGATAAAATAACAAGTTTGGAGAGGCAATGCTGATGAGGGGGAGCCGGGCAGGGAGGAGAAGGAGCCTAAGGAACACATCTTTGTAGAAGGGAAGGAAAATCAAGACAGGAACTGTGGGTGGAAA